CCGGGGCCCAGCATGCGCCCAGCCTGCCCCCTCCCCCGCCCCGGGGAGCGCTCTCCGCGGGGGCAACAGAGTCACAGTGAGGCCGCCCCTCCCCCCACCAGGACCCCTGCCCCCGCTCACCCAGGCCAGCGCGCCTCATCCCTGCGCTCCGGCCGCGGGAACGGCCCCAGCTCCTGCCCACGGTCCCCGCACCAAAGGCCGCCTCTTCTCCCGCGCCCCGGAGCGCCACGACAGCACCCGACGGCCGCGCAGTCTGCTGGGCAAAGCCGGTGCGGGGCCCACTGGGAAGTGTAGTCCCGCTGCAGCCGCCATCTTGGCTGCGCCGAGCCCGGGCGGGGCGGGGCTATCTGGGTGCCCCGCGGCCTGCTGTCGCTGTGGCAGCGGCCCTGGGTGGCACCTTTACCTCTCTTTGCCCTCCCCTGCGTCCTCTATCCCGGGCGGGCCCGGTCCCTGGTGTGCCTTGGTAGCTGCTTTGTATGCCATCTCGTCTTTGACAGGTGCGATGCAGAGGCCTTCCCCAGCCCCTGGGCGGCGTGACCCGCCCGTGCCCCCCCGCCACTGCTCCCCGGGCACCTGCCCCACATCTAGTGAACCTGATTTCCCTGGACGGTGGTGCTGAGTGCCAGGAAGGTGCGTTTGCAGGGGCAGGGGGCCAAGACACTTGGGCAGGGGAGAGGCCCAGACAGCCAGGGGACATGGGGGCATTCGTAGGCAAGATGTAGTTGTGGGATTTGTCGCCAGGCTCCAAGAGGGCCTAGATAGGTCCCTGGGTGATAGATCTGTTGGGGGCTATTGGACCAGTGGGCTGGAGCTGTTTGTTCCGGCCTCTGAATGCTGACAGCGGATGCCAAGGAGGATATTGAAGAGAGGCCAGATCACTTTAGGCGTATCAGGTTCCTTGCTCTCGCTTTCTAGCACCCAGCTTAACTAGAGGGACCATTGATCCGGCCGGGTATGGCACCTCTTACCTTCTTGTGATGCCTCACAGCAAGACCTGCAGTATCTGAAGTAGGCAGGGGGTTATGAAAGCACGCGCCTCTACTAACCAGCGTCTAAGCTACCACCTGCTTTGCCTTCTGCCTAGCTTCAGACGAACAAAGCTAATCACCACTCAAGTCAGTGGATGTGGCCTTCGGGGTATGTCTGCAGCTGGCCTTCTCACAGCTCCATCAGCCCAGTCCATCTGGGACGTTCTTCCAGCGATCAGAGGCTGCAAGAATTTACCAGAATGCATGAACGATGCGTGCCCCCGGGGGGGGCACAGTGACCCCCCCCACAGGCGGCAGCTGTAGGGGCAGGGAGGTGGTGAACAGGGAGATCCCATAGGTGGCCGTGGTTGGGGGGGCATGCACCGATCAGTGGTCAGCGACCACCTGCAGATGCCATCGGTGGTGATCAGCAACCACCCCAGACACCATCGGCAGTGTTGGTATTGACGGAGAGGGGTGGTGAGCAGCAACCGCCTGGGCCATCCCTGGCGGGGCAAATTGGGGCAACTGCCCTGGGCCCCGCACTTTGGGGGGCCCGGCAGAGCAGGGCAGAGCAGCAGCAGCATGGAGCTGGGCAGAGTGGCGTGGCTCCACATCCAGCCGCTCGTGCCACCACTGCTGATGGTGGCAGCGGCTTCTTTGGGTCCAGGATCAGAGCAGGGGCACGGCCCTGCATGGGCTGATTTGCCCCAGGGCCTGCACCCTGCTTGGGTCACCTCTGGCAATTGCCCACAGGCAGCACTGGCAGCACTTCTGTCAGGGGGTGCACTGCCAATCTCAGGGGGTGCACGTGCTCCCGTGCGCACCCCCAACACGTTACCAATGCCAGAATGTGACCTCATCACTTCAACATCCCTAGAAACCTTAAGGAGCTTGTGATATTCTGAAGAAGACTGAACTTTTGTTAATTTTACAAGGTTAAACAAACTGAGTCATTAGTGTTGCAAAGGAGATGATAATTCCCAGAAACAAGTCAGTGGGTGCTGACTCTGCTGCAGTTTGAGATCATTGCTCCTAATCCTATCCCTTATGACCTCAGGGAATAGTCTATCTCCATCCTCTTCATAATGACCATTTAAGTATTTGAAGACTCAGTGTTCTCTTTTCCAGAGTAAGTAATCACCATTTTTTCAGCCTTTCCTTGTATGTCCTGCTCCTCAGGCCCCTAATAATTTTTGCCACTCTGGACTCTTTCCAGTCTATCCACATCCTTCTTGAAGTGCGGGGCCCAAAACTAGACACTGTACTGCAGGTGAGGCCTCACCAGTGCTGGATAGAGCGAAAGAATCACTTCCCTTGATTTACAAGAGATTCTCCTGTGAATACAATCCAGTATGCTGTTGGCTTTTTTTGCAACAAGCACACTGTTGCCTCATATTCAGTTTATGTTTTCAAAATAACAGGCTCCTATACTTGAAAACTGAATTTTTAATCTTGTGTTTTAAACTTTAAGAACCGATGACTTCATATTTTAGCAGATATGAAAGTTCTTGGCCTTGATGCTGTGAACAAGTTTTAGGAGGCTATCAGCACCTTCTCATTCCAATTACTAGAAAGGAAGTAGGAATTCTAAAATGTTTTTTCTTTTGTAACATTGGGTCATAATTCTGAAAAAATAAGGACCACTGTCCTTGCTGAACCCTCTTTTTGGAAGTAATAAGAGTCATTGCAGCATAAAGCTTCAGTGCTAGGAATGATTTAGATTTCAGTTACAAACATAATCTATCTCTTGTGTCGCAGAGCACTTAGGTGCCCTGCTCCTTTTAAAGAGGGGAAACTGCTAGGGAAAGAGCCTAGGGAACTGCTAGGGAGGAACTCCAGCTGCTGGTTACCAGGGGCAACCAGAGTTAGCTAGCTACCCACACCTGCCAGTGGTCAGCTGACCGGAAGGGGCAGGGCCTGGCTCACATAAACCCCAGGGCTGAGGCCAGGGCAGTTGGTCCCTGCTAGCAGCTAAGGAGTACTCTTAGAGCAAGCAAAGGGGAGAGGCCTGACTGCAGGTACAGCCCTGAGACTGGTGAGGGATGGAGCACCCCTAGTATGGCTTGAGTAATGTTATAGCTGGGCGGTTAGAATTTATGTTATAACCCAGGGGCTTGTGTTTTGTTTGATATTTAAGACTGGTAGTTTGGGTGAGGCTATTAGGGATTGGAGAAAGCCTCATAGGGGACCCATGGCAGTGTGGGGACCCCAGTGCCAGAGAGGGTGCAGCATTGGGGGTGCACCAACCCCGGCACCAGAGAGGGCAAGGGGGCCAAATTATTACAAGGCCCAGACCAAACAACTTCGGTTCCATCTGTGAGGCTTGGGGCATGGTAAAGGGATGGTTGGAGCCACGCATAGCCCATAAGGCTAGGGTGCCCTGAAACACCCATTACAGAATGGAACCCACAAAGGGGTCTGCGGGGTCAGATATTACAGCAAACCATGTCCAAGAGGATGTGAAGGCAGCCTCCCTATTATATATTTTATCATCAAAGATGTGGAGGGTGAGAATCGAGGGTGCCCTTTGGGCCAACTTGACACGAGAAAGGGGCCTTGGGGAGATCACGGCCATCCTACAGGACCCCGCACCGTGACATCTTAGTATAATAAAAGAGAGATGTATATCATATAGTGTGTATTCTCATACTTTCAGGGGTGTTCTTCAGCCCCAAATCTCTCTCTGCTATCTGCTGATTGACCACTGAGTTTAAACTGAGATGCTCCAAATGTCACCTTTCTAACCAATGGCACCTCAGCTCTCCCTGGCTCACCTAACCAGCTCCTAGCAGATTTTGTGTAGTCATATGCTCAGACAAGATAGATCATCCCCTTCCTTGGAAGAGGCCTGTATGGTCAAATACTCTTAAATCAAAATTGTCACTGGCAATATGTGTTTTATAAAAAATAACACCAAGATTTATTCTAAGAACGAGAGCAAGCATAAGAAATCAGTAGCCATATGTTCTGCAACAGAAGTATAGTATAAATAGACTAAGTATTGAAACAATAATCTGATTTTTATGCCACATCTTTAACCCAAGAATAAAGTTTTTACCCAGCTCAGATTAGGAAGTGGCTCCTGCCTCTGACCTTTCCATTAGGGTTTCTGCCACTTCTCTTGTCAGCCAGAACAACTAGCTCACTGCCTGAGGTAGACCCAAAGCCTTTTCCTATGCTTAGGGAAAACTAAAGAAGTTTAAATGTGGTTTCTTGCCTGGCCCTTTGCATACATCATCTGCCGGATTCTTGGGAAGCCCAAGCTGTACGTGTAACTTCCTGCTTCCCCCAAGGGTGCATATTTAACAGATAAGAAGGCTTTTTCATTATGACCAGGAAAATATTTGTATAATTTCAGACATATCCAAAATGCTGCCTCTCACTTAATTTCACCACTCTGAGAAATGTCCTTAGGTAATACTCATAATAGAGTCTCTTTTAAAAAATACAAAGTTGCCATTGCCTGAAATGCAAAAGAAACTCATTGTTTTAGGTAGTGAGACTTGAGACTCATTTCATATGATATGTTATAATTGGGGGATCCTGGTTTTCTCTGATAAAATTGCAAATTCTCTGATAACCCCAACATCTGCAATTAAAAGGAAGTGCCACTATGTATATAGGTATCAGTTGAACATAATGTTTTATTGATATATTTACAATTTTAAAGCAGTTTGGAAGCCTACCAGTGCCTCAATCACTATAATAAAATACATTCTAAATACCTATAAATGTTGGTGTTTGAGTTTTTGGGGGTTTTTTTATCATGGGAAATCAGAGCTAACCCTGCCCCTGTCCCTCACCAGGATGGTGGTCTAGGTCCCTCACTCCCAAGCCACAGCCCCCACAAGCCCTGTTGGTTTCCCTCACTCCCCACCCACAGCTCCCTGGCCCTGCTGGTGCCCCTTGCCCCCCACCAACAGCCCCCTGTCCCATCACCCAGGCAGGGAAGAGCATAGAGCCCAACTCCCCCTCCACTATGGGTGGCATGGCCAGAGCAAAGCCCATTAGAAGCAGGGCAAGTGTGGGCTGCCTGCTGAGGGCTTGGGCTCCCCGCCCTGCTGCCCTCCCCCAGGGCCTCCATGGCCCAGTGGGCAGGACCCAGCGTGCCAGGGCAGAGTGGGACTGGGCAGAGATGCTCTGCCACTGTGAGCACTATGCTGCCATGGCAAAGTGCCCCCTGACAGCAGCAAGGTGCATAACTCCGCACCGCCACTGCTACTGGGCAGGCAGGGTTGCTTCACTAATCAGTGTGGGGCTTGCAGTGGCAAGGAACTTGC